ATCAGATCTACTTTGCCTCTAGCCTCATGGTGTTGATAAGATATTTCTGGTCCTCAATTTCTCTATCTGTGAAACGGGGAGATGACCCCAGTTCAGTGTGCCCCTCAGGCAGGGCTAGATGCTTCAGAAGAGCAGACACGTTCTGACAAAGGTGCCAATGAACACGGAGAGGGCGGGGGCGGTTCCCTGACCGCTGGTCATCCCATGTCAGAACTGCTGAACGTAGACATGCAGACTCCTTCCTGTTCAGCCTGTGGGGTTGTGTGGAGGGGGTGGGCTCTATTAGTATATAATCAGATGGGATTGACCCGGGTTCCAGGTGTTCAACACACTGCACCCTAGGTTTCCTGATACTTGGAGGCACCTGGCTTCAGGCAGCTGCTACTTAGTGAGCCAGACAGCCCAGCTGTCCTGCCTGGCTCTGTGCTTGTTCCTGGCTGGTCCTGGTTCTGGGTGTCAGCACCAGGGTGCAAATCTCTCTTCCTGCCCCATGGGCACCCATGGCTGTGGGTGGCCACAGTGGCCCCTGCTGCCCTTGCTGCTGCTGCTGCTGAGCCCCGTGAAGGCCGAAGCTCAAAAGGAGTGGGATGAGTCTGGAGCCCAAGAGCTGCTGGGCAGACCCAGAGAGGGGCCGGAGCTCGCCCGTCCTTGGGAGATCCACGGCTGGCCCACAACCATCATATACCGGGGCTCTGAGGTGCAGGCAGGTGGGGGGTGAGGAGCCATGTGCATGCCATTTCTTCTCTAGCTTCGGTGTAAGGGAAGGTCTGGAGTGAAGAGCCTGAGAGCATTTGCTCATTTGCCCACTGGCTTGGTATGGTCCTGGGACTGAAGGCACCAAAGTGGGGAGTTAGGATGGCCAGTGCTCCACGGACTCCTGGCAGTTCACAGCTGAGTTTCAAGACAGGATCTGAGAATGGCCAGGGTTGAGCCGGCTCGCTGTGTGCTCACATGAGTGCTGACGGTCACCCACAGTTCCTTTGGGGATGGACGCCATGTTTGGATGTGTGTGGATCTGTTGTGGGTGATGTCAGTGGGGCTTTGTATGGGTTGGGGAGAGGTTTAAGCCTCACTGAGTCAGCTGGCATCTGTAGTCTCTCTATGTTCTGGGTCTCTTCGGCTCTAAGTTGATCTGTACCCAGGGAAAAGGTCTTTCTTTTGATGTCCTCATGCTCCTTTTCCTCCCTTGGGTCCAGAGTGCCTGGAAGGTGCCCAATATCTACCTGGTAGTGTTCAAGGAATCCGAGAGGGTGCAGATGGAGAGTATTGTCCAACGCCTACAGAGCCAGGCTGCCAGCCAGGGCCTCATGTTCAAAGTGCTACACGTCTTCAAAGACCTCTTTCCTGGCATCCTGATGAAGTCGGACAACTTGGGCCCACTGGACCTGGTGAGCCCCAGCTCAGGCATGCACATGCCTAGGCCTGTGCGAATCCCTTGGTTGACACACTCAGGGGACAGCAGACACTTACTGAGTATTGAGGGTCTGTAGCTCAACGATACTAGTGATGCCAGCCTCCTCAGGCAGCTTCCTTGTTAGCCTGGCCAATTCCCCTATGGTACTTTGTCTATTCACCCTCATTTGAGGGAGGAGGGATCTCCGTGTACACGGGGGAGCTGGGTTCCCAGCTTCTCGTGCAGCTGGCCAGTGTCCTTGGGTTGGTGCATTGCAGCCTGGGTGCACAGCTGAGGTGAGAGAAGGGTCAGGATGATGCACGTGTGAGGTATGCTCCAGGGCAGGGATGGGTCTGAGCACACACACTGTGCCCTCAATTCCTGCTGGTCCCTTCTCCTGTCCCATTGGCTCAGCACCCAGATGCCACCACCAGGGTTCATAGCACTATGCTCTGAAGACGGAAAGCTGTGGAAAAAGAGTGGACTCACAGGATGGCCTGATGTGGACATGGAGTCCAGACCCCAAGGACTTCCCCTGCTCTCCAGCCTGCCTAGAACTGGCACTGCCTGGCTCCCAGATGAGATGTGGAAGCTGAATCCCTCCTGCCACTCATGTGGGCTCAGCTACCAGTTGTGGGGGCACTGGTCCCAGCTCTCCCGACTCCTATGCCTGTTAGAGGAGTGCGACCCTTTGTCTTCTGGTCCATGGAGGGGGCCTTTTGGTTACCGTGGGAACTGGAGGGATCAGATGCGCCAAGTGCTGGGTGCTGCTGGCTACGTGACTCATGAAATTGAGATCCTGTGTCCTTGGCATCCGCAGGTCCTGAGGCTGAAGCCGGCGAAATTCATCGAGGAGGATTCCTTTGCCTTTGCACAGAGCCTCCTGTGGAGTCCACATCTGATTTCCCCTCACTGGAATCCGATTCGGAGCATCCTGTGGAACATGCAGTGGATTTCCCCTGAGTGGAACCAGTTGCGAAGCTTCAACCACAGCAGTAAGACCACAGCTGCCATGGCCCACCTCTCCTCTCTGTCCTGGGACCTCACCTGACCCATCTTCTCTCTGTTCTCTCCTAACCCCACCTGGACTGTGCCCCCTCCTGCTGTTCTCTGCACAATAATGGGACATTTGCCTAAGGTCCACGTTTCTTTTTTTTTTTTTTTTCAAAGTTGGGGCCTTGAATTCAGGGCGTGGGTACCCTCCCTTAGTTTTTCTGCTCAAATACGGTGCTCTACCACTTGAGTCAAAGCTCTACTTCCAGCTTTTGGATGATTAATTAGAGATAAGAACCTCACAGTTTCCTGCCCAGGCTGGGTTTTGAACAGCCACCCTCAGATCCCAGCTTCCTGAGTAGCTAGTATTCCAAGCTTGAGCCACAAGTGGCTGAATAACCATCTTCTTTTCCTCCTCTTCTCTCCAGCAGGCCATACTTGCCTTAAGAGGAAACTGAACTTGACTGTGACTTACAGTCTCTGGTCTATATAACTCTCAGTCCTCAAAACTAGACCAGAACTCCAGAGCTTCCCTCAACTAGGTCTCTGTCTCCAGGCCTCCAGGCCTCTCAGGAGGGGACTAGGAAAATGGCAGTGTGTGGGGGACGGGGGTGTCTTAGTGACCCTGAGCTGAGGAAGGCAGTAAGGGCACCTAATTGGGAGAGGATCAGAGGTTATGGCTGGACCCTGTAGTGTTGGACGAGCCTGTGCAGATCTGGGTTTGGTTTGGTGCTGGGCCTCAGGTCTGGGGGTGAGCCCAACGCCTTCTCCTTATCCACGGATCTCAGGGTCTGAGGAGCCACCTCCCTTTCTAGGCCTTTCCCTTAGCTGTGAACAGGCCGTGATCAGCCTTGTCCTCCCCACTGTTTAGAGGCTAAGGGGAAGCAGAGGCAGTGTCTTCAGGACTGGAAGGTGGGTGATGTTGGCGGGCTGTCATTTTGCTCTGCCCCAGCTTCCCACCTTTGTGTGGTTTCTTGCTTTCTCCTCTTCCCATTCTTTATTTCTGTTTCTCTTTCTCTTCATTGACTTATTCTATTTATTTGATGAGTGGTATTGGGCTTGAACTCAGGGCTACCCATGTGCTCAGCTTACTTGTGCACCCGAGCACACTGCCACTTGAGCCATACCTCTAGCCTGGCATTTTACAGTAAATTGGAGATGGAATCTAGAGGACTTTGCTGCCTAGGTTGGCTTTGAACCATTAATGCTCTACATCTCTCCTTTCTGAGTAGCAAGATATGTTCTGTTTCTCCTTTAGAGTCTTGGGCTTTGCACTCAGAGCCTCATGCTTGCTAGGCAGGTTCTCTACCACTCAAGACATGTATACATTAGTTACTATTTAGATAAGTTCTCATATTTATGCCAGAACCTGGACCACAATCCCCCTTGTTATGTTTACTTAGTAGCTAGGATGACAGGCTTGTGCTACTGCACCTAGCTTTGGTTGAGATGTGGTCTTGTGAACTTTTTTCCTTTACTGGCTTTGATCTACCAATTCTCTGACTCACAAATAGCAGGGATTACAGAAGTGAGACACGGTGCCCAGCCTTCCTCTTCATTCTTGTGTGAGGCCACTCTGCACTGGATTTAGTGCTACTTGGTCATCCTGCATGAGCTCACCTAGAAAGACCTCTTTTTCAGATACGGTCTGGTGGTGGTGCTGTCATTTGAATCCAGGACCTCACATTTGCTAGGTTACGACTTAAGTCACACCTCTAGCCTCCAGATAGATAGGTCTAAAAGGACATGGTGTGTCTTTTCTATGGTACTAGTGACTAGCTCTCCTGAAGGTTTGGAGTAGACACAGTCCATTTCCTGCTCTCTGGTGATGCCCATGATGTCCCTTCCTGGAGGAATGGAGACAGGGCTAAGGAGCCCCTTCTAGAATCTTCTCAAGGGCTTGCTGGAGGAGACCCTTTAGGAGCTGTTGGACTGGGACAGGGTAAAGCAGGTCCCGTATGGATGGGGATAAAGAAGGCTGGGCAGGCCCTGCCCTGTCCCTTTACTCATAGAGGCCACACGGCACAGCTGTTCGTTATCCTCAAACCCAAACCTTGTAAAAGAAAGGCAAAAGGAGGAGATGGGCAGAACTTGGGGTGAGGAAGCCACAAGCCAAGAAATGCCAGCAGCCACCAGAAGGAGGTGCACAAGGCGAGTGAAACTTCTTATCCAAATCTTCAGGGGGAGTGCAGCATGATCTCTTGATCTTGAATTTCTGATCTCCAGAACTGCAGTTCTACTTGGGCAGCAATAGAAAGTGTGCTGCTGTAATTCTGCCTCAAGAGAACCAGTAGTAGGAGCAGGTTACTGAGGCCCTGCCTCCTGGGCTGCTCCCAGCCAATGACAGAACTCAAGGTGGAGCTAGGCCAGTAACAGGCAGCATGCTATTGTTGAGTTTCCTGACTCTCTCTGATTGGCCATCTACATGGCTTAGGGCAGCTCCCTGTCTCTAAGTCTCACTGGCCTTCTCAGTAATATAGACACACTAGGAGTGGCTTGGGAGGATTTTTAGATGAAAGACTGCACAATTGAGAAGCAAAGCATGCCATCATTGATACAGGTGACCCACATATAACATGATACTCTTGGTTCTCCCTTTTCTCTTCTTGCACAAATGTCACTGTGGGAAGACAAGGACAACCCCATGGAGGTGTATCTCTTGGGCACTAGCATCCAGCCTAATCACCTGGAAATTAAGGGCAGGATCAACATTTCTAACTTTGAGAGAGTGCCTGAGGAGGAGTGGCAGAGCACCAGTGCGCCCAGGACACAGGTGAGCCATCCTTCCCCAGCCCATCCCAGAGGAAGATGAGGACCACCAGACCTGGAGCACTATGGCCACCCTCTCCAGCCATCACGGTCCATCCCCAGTCCTCAGCTGTAGGCAGGGTGGGCGGGCATTGCAGTCGATCCAGGGTCTATTGGGAAATTATGGGGCGGGTGGCTTTCTCATCTGGTCCTTGTGTTGGTGGAGCAGGAACATAATTGTGAAGGCCATGGCACCCACCTGGCAGCCCTGATCAATGGCCAGAGTGTTGGCGTGGCCAAGGACATCAACATACACAGCCTGCGTGTGCTCAACTGCCAAGGGAAGGGCACGGTCAGCGGCATCCTCATGGGTGAGTGGCAGACCCCAGCAGCTCCTTTGGCCAGATGCATTGACCTATGTTGGGTTCAAATAATGAACATCACTGTTGATTTGGAGGGAAGGAGCTGGGGAAGGCAACATGCCCCTCTCGAGGCAGTCATCTTGTTCTCAGTCATCTGTGTTCTGTCAGGCTTGGAGTTTCTTTGGAAAAAGCTGGTCTCCAATCCCTCTAAGCGCATGGTAGTGCTGCTGCCCCTGGTGAGTGGGTACAGTCAGAGCATCAACAATGCCTGCAAGCGCCTGGCAAGGGCTGGAGCAGTGCTGGTGGCCGCTGCGGGCAACTTTCAGAGCAATGCCTGTGCCTACTCTCCAGCATCGTCTCCTGAGGTAGGTGCCAGCAGGGCTTCCTGCTCATGTCCTGCCTTGCAGGTTGTCAGAGGGCCAGCATCCCCAAAGCCCAGTGTGACAAGGGGTTTGGCTAGCCCTGCCTCACCTTCAAAGGTCCTGCCACATTACCCCCTCCATCACATCCTCCCTCTGTGCCATCCCTCTCCTCCTGATTGACATTTGCAGAGCCACTGCTTTGTGTGGGGCTTGTGTGGGCCTGGCAGTATCAGGGGGAGGACAGGTGTCCCATCTCCAGGCCTTCTGGGCCCTGGAAGGAAGGGAAGGTACAGACGCAAATGGGCAGTGCTGCCCTCCCCTTTCCCTCTCCCTCCTTGCCCTGCACAAACCTTCAGACTATAGCTCTGGAGGTTTTTCCAGAGATGCTGAACTTACAACCGCCTGCATCCAGCCTGGCTCACTGTGGGTTGCCTCACAGCTCTCTGGCTTCTTGATAACAACATTGTCAATTTAGTGTTTTTCTCCCATTATTGTACAATCTCTACAGGGCATCAAGAGTAGTGCCTGCATCCTGTAGAAGCCCTGGGACAGGCTAGGGTATCAGCTGTGCCCAGGAGCCAGATTTTCCTCTGGAGAAGACACTTACATGGGAGTCAAACAGGAAGTATAGGAGTTGATCAGTCTGCCTCATGCAGCCTTTCCCTCAACTCTTTGCCACATTCCAGGTCATCACTGTTGGAGCTGTGGATTATCAGATCCAGCCACTCATCCAGGGTACTCTCGGGACCAACTATGGATCCTGTGTGGACATCTTTGCTCCTGGGAAGAACATTGTCAGTGCCTCCAAAGACTGTAATGTTTGCTATGTAACGCAGAGTGGAACTTCGCAGGCGGCTGCCCATGTGGCTGGTGAGTCACCATGCCACTGCCTGGGCCACCAGGACTCCAGCGGCCCCTTTGGCCAGATCCTCCATATGCCTGGCTATGAGCAAGAGAACCCAATGTGCAGACCTGATGGAGATGGTGCCATTTTGCATCACTGGGGTATAAATTGGTGTTCACCTGGTGAACACAATGGCCAATACCAAGGCCTAGAGATAGGAGAACAAGATGTGTTACTTTCTATCTTTCACTAAGCAAGGGATTGCAGGTGGCTTCATTTTGGGAAGAGCACATGATGTGTGTATATGTGTGCATTTGTGTCCTAAAAGGAGTTCCCAGCTAGGATGGAAGGCCAGGCTATCACCTTGTCTGATTTTTTCCTTCCTCCATCAGGCATTGCAGCCCTGTTGCTCACTGCCCAGCCAAACCTCACTGTGGCTGAGCTGAGGCAGAGGCTGATCCATTACTCTATCAGAAATGCTATCAATAACACCTGGTTCCCCGAGGAGGAGCGATTCAAGACCCCCAACCTGTTGGCTGCACTGCCCCCCCGCACCCAGGAAACAGGTGAGCATGGCAGGTGGGTAGGTAGAGGCCAGCCTGGGTGTGAGAGGCCCATGTGGAGGTGACAGTCCCCTACCTGGTCTACAGAAGGACTGTCCTCCTCAGATAGGACTCCAGGCTCAGGGTAACTATTTCAACACTGAAGTTTTAACTAAAAGTTTCATGTGATATGGAAACTCCTCTCCCTTATGTAAGACTGAAACTTTCTCTGGAGTCTCTGGGTGTCCTGTGCCCCAGAGCCTCATTTCTCATGGCCTTGTTGCAGGTGAACAGCTGTTCTGCAGGACTGTGTGGTCAGCACCCTGGAACATCACACTGGCAGACCCTGCAGTGGCTGAGTGTGACCCGGAGGAGGAGCTGCTGGGCTGCTCCAGTTTCTCCCAGAGTGGGATGCGGCAGGGCGAGCATGTGAGGGTGAGCTGCACACTCTGTGTGCCCAGTCCTCTGTCCTCTGGATTCCAATCTGTGTCTTGACTTCAAAGGCCTGGGCAGGGCCAGGTGCTCCTGGGGGACCCGGACAGACAGCACCCTCATGGGCACAGGAGGGAAAGGACAGTGGTTGCTTTGGCTCTCTGCCTTGCCTAAAGCCATCTCTATGCTGGGTGTTTTTTCTCATGCCTGTTGTTCTAATGACTCAGGAGGCTTAGATCTGAGGATCGTGGTTCAAAAGCCAGCCCAGGAAATTTCATGTAGTTCTTATCTCCAACTAAGCGTGAAGGGGAGTTGCAACTCTGCTGGTAGAGTGCCAGGCTTGAATGCTAAAGCTGAGGGACAGCACCTAGGCCCTGAGTTCAAGTCCCAGTACTGACACACCCCTTCCTTCTCCCTGCCAACCAAGAGAATCCACAGTCATGACCCTCAGGTTGGGATGACAGAGGCTCTGTGAGTTGAGAATTTCAAAGGTGCAGAAGCAGCTGATGAGGTTCCCATACCCTGGGTGGCCCTGTGAGGGGAAGGGGGCTTACAATATATGGTAGGTGAGCACTTCTGTGCAGAAGTCAATGTTGGGAGGTTTCTTAGGAGAGGCCCGATGGGTCAGGGGGCCCGTAGGCCCTGTGCTGCTGTATCAGGTACCCTTATCTCCAGTTACAAGGCATTGTCAGTGTTGGGAAGATTCATTTGAGCTGCACATGGCAGGACAGACTGCATGGGACCAAGCAGTGCTGAGGCTTCAGGAGCCAGAACTTGCAGACGGGGTTCTTCTCATGTCCCGACCCGCAGGACTTCAACGAGGGCAATGAACCTAAATGAGAAGGAATGAAGGGACAAGAGACACGAAGAATGACAGCAAGACAGGGATTCTGATCAAGCTGCTAAATTTTATTTTTCACACAGCTGTATTTATAAGGAAGCTTTTTCATTGGCCGTCATTGGCCGAAGCAGCTGTAGGATGTTTGCTTAAGGCAAGCTGAAAAAGGTGGTCGGTCTTTAGCAGCTGCAGGGTGTTTACTTAGGGCATGGTGAAAAGGTGGAATTCTGTAAACTCATCCTCAAGTTGTTCCAGTGAGATAGTTAAGCCTATTATGTTGAGAGACTCAACTTTTGGCTCCCAACATTCTCAGACCAGGTTCCCCAGTCCCTAAACCTCTTCACAAGTTACCATTTCTCTCTTGGACTCTCAGATCCTAGGAAAGAGACGCGTTTGCCTGGCATTTGGAGATAGCCAGGTTTCTGCGGTGGCCAGATGCTGCCTGCTCCCCCGAGCCAACTGCAGCATCCACACAGCTGCTCCAGCCTTGGTGGGGCTGAAGACCTATACCCACTGCCCGGATCCTGACCAAGTCCTTACAGGTAGGGGCTGGTCCCTCCAGGGTGAGGAAGATGACCTACCACCTGCTGCTCAGGAGACATGTCCCACACACTTGGTCCCCATGAGTGTGAGCAGATGATATGGGAGCCTCAGGACCCACAGCCAAACAGGATCTGCAACTTGCATGCTATGTGGCCTTGGGCAAGTGGCTTCACCTCTCTCTTCCTCTCCTGCCTCTGTAGTGGTGATTAGAAGGGTGACAAATGAACTCTGGCTTGGGCACTGGGAGCTGTTTACCCTCTGTGTGGGTAGGGTGCCCTAATTCAGGCCTGTCAGAGTATGGCACAGCTCAGGTTGATCCAATCAGTAGCTAGCAAGTTCCTTCTCAGCCCTGTGCCTTAGTTTCCTCATTGTGAATGCTCAGCTCTAATCCTGGATAGTTGCATTCTGGTGGCCACTGTCATCGACCATCACTCTGAAGTCCTTTCTCTGGGTTAGGGACTTTCTTTTTTGGCGGAGGGGGTCCAGGTGTGGGGCCTGAACTCTGGGCCTGGGCGCTATCCCTTAGCTCTTCAGCTCAAGGCTAGCACTCTACCACTTGAGCCACAGGACCGCTTTCGGCTTTTTTTTTGCTTCTGTGGTGCTGAGGAATGGAACTCCGGACCTCAGGCATGCAAGGCAAGCGCTCTACCACTAAGCCACCTTACCAGCCCTGGGCTAGGGACTTTCTATAACAAACCTGCCCAGGAAAGTGTATGGAAGTCATGGGTGAGGGCTGCACATAGGAGCTAGGGACTGTTTTCTTGGGTTGGAGCCATTCTTAGAAGGAGCCAGCAGGGAGGTTTAGGGGACAGTGGGAATTATCTTGAATCACTAGATCAGGAGCTGACCTTTGCCAGGTAAGTACTGGGGAGTCTGAAGTTCTGGAATAGTAAGGGTTAGGTGGGGTTAGAAGTTGGCTGGATTAGCAGGAGTCAGATGAGCCAAGTGGCTAGTGCCTTGTCTGGGACAAGAGCTCTATGTGGCTGCTGGCCTGGCAGGAAGCCTGGTCTGTGGCAAAGCTGGCAGAGCCACAGGTACTCACTGTGTAGCTCATGCCAAGTCCCATATGCAGGACAAGTTGCCGAGTGTCTTTCCTAAAGACACAGAGCTGGGAGAAGGGCTCTGGTCCTGGTTACCAGATCCTGGGTCCTGCATGGGCAGTACTGGGACTTCCCATGCATGTTTCTGCTTTAGCTAAACAGTATCTCTGTGAGTTGCTGCTACTGCTCTAGCTGTTTTACAAATAGGGAAACTGAGACTTGATGAAGTTCAGCAAAGTGCCCACAATTTTACAGCCTGGTGCACCTGATTCCCTAGCTCACAGACCTAGGCTTATGCCGGACTGCTCTTGGTGATGATGCATGAGGAAAGGACTTGAGGTGGGAGGGGTTTGGGTAAGCAGTGGTTGATCATCGCAGGCCTGGGAACCATGCCCCATGGCTCCACTTCTTTGGTGGAGAGGAGATCATGGAAACTATGGATCAGAGCGCTTGAGCTTCTCTCCCAAAATTCTACAAGTCAGATCACCAGCAGAGCTATGCTGGAAGTCCTCCTGCTCAGGCCAATGTCTCTTCCCCTCAGAGCTGCTCCTGGGTTTCCTTGGCTTTAAACCTTATAGAGAAAGGGGTGTGGAAAGAGAACCACGATAGTCTTCCACATTCAGTGTGTGAGCTGTCCCTCCTCTGCCCTAGGATGCAGCTCCCATTGGGGGATAGATGACCCTGGTGTCTACCAGCATACTTCAAGGCAGCAAGGTCATCAGCCCAGAAAGTGCCTGGGGCACAAGAAGTCCAGTGTACATGCTTTCTGTTGCCATGCTCCGGGCCTGCAGTGTACAACGGAGAAGTACAGGCGTTCCAGTCCCTTGGAGAAGGTAAAGGGTTGGGGTTGTGGGGGGGGGGGGGGAGTGGAGATGGCTGGGGCCTGCATTGCCCAGGGGAGGACCTGAGCACCTGTGCTGTCATGTGCAGTGTGTGTGTGTGTGTGTGTGTGTGTGTGTGTGTGTGTGTGCATGTACTAGCTCATGTGTTTGTATGAGTGTGAGTGTGAGTGTGCTGGGCTTGCTTTTGTTTCTGGCCAGATTAGTAAGGTTTGCTCTCCAATGCCCTGTCCCCCTTTAAGGATAGCACAAATAAATATGGCATAAAGAAATGAATTGCTGAGTCTGGACACAGTAATACAATGCTGTGCCTGTTTCACCTGCTCCTGAGGAGGCACAAATAGGAGTTAGTTTGAGGCCCACCTGGGCAAAAAAAAACTTAAATAAAAAATAAAAATAAAATAGAGATTCTATCTGAAAAATAATTAAAGCAAAAACAGTCAAAGTGGTGACTAAAGTGGTAGAGAACCTGCTTGGCACTCATGAATTCAAACCCCAGTACTGCTTGTTTGTTTTTTTTTTAAGCACCTGTATTCATAACTATTCTGAAGACTGAGATCTGAGAATTGGGGTTCAAAGCCAACCTTGGCAAGAAAGATTATGAAACTTATGCCCTTAATTAACTGCCCCCAAAAAAACCAGAACTGGAGCTGGATTCAGCTCTGGAGTTTAAATGCCAGGATTAGTGTGCGCACACAACAACAACAACAACAACAACAAACAAAAAAACAAAACAAGCACAAAAAAACCAAAGCATCACTTCTGCATTTCACAAACCTACTGGGAGTTGTTCAGGGCTGGAATGGCTGAGCAACCATGGAAGGTTGGAGGAGAAGGAAGATCCCTGAAAGGAGGGCAGGTCACACTTGGCCTCTTGGACTCTGAGAACTAGCCTCTAGAGGCCCTGGCAGGAGGAGTTTGGGACCTGAGGGTGGTGGCTCTGGTCTGGGATGAGCTGCAACAAGGAGTGGAGGGCTGTTCAAGGTCTTGTGGAGCTGCTGGGGGGATGGAGTTGCCATCACTGGGTGGGGAAGGCTGTGGGAGGGGTGGCTTGTAGGGAAGTGGGAAGTGGGAGGGGCTTTGGTTTGTTGAGATGTTTGTCTGGGTTGCAGTGCCCTGGTAGGCTGGAGTGAAGCACCCTGAGGGAGTGGTGGGCATTGTTGGACACAGCCCCTTTGGGGGGTGTGAGGGGCAGAACCAAGCCAGGTGCTCACAGTTTGGTCCCCACTGAGGGTTGCTGGGAGGGACAGTGTAGCAGGTGGCTTAGAGACCTGACCATGGATGCAGGACCTGGCCTTACTTGTCTTCCCTGGACTCTGGCAGGTCACTGTGAGCTGTGACGCAGGGTGGACCCTGACAAGCTGCAGTGCCCATCCTGAGACTTCAATAACCCTGGGAGCTTTTCCTGTGGACAACACATGTGTGGTGAAGCACCAGAACACTGACAAAAGAGGAAGGGCCAGTAAGGAGTTTATAATAGTCACCGCCATCTGCTGCCGCATCCAGCTCTCAGGCCAGCCATAGAGTGAATGGAAGACCTCAACCTGCTGGGTGTTATTGATCAGGGCAGGGCTGCAGGAGGGGATATATGGCCTGAGAGAACTTGGTCTCATCTTGGGTGCCCCTCCCTGGGAGAAGTACAGGAATCCTCCCCATTAGGAGCAAGGAGGGGGTAGATTTAACAGCAAGAGAGGCTCCTGGCAGCCCAGCTAGAAGGCTAGTGACAAAATCACCTTTCACATACATTTGGCTCCAGCCTGGGGGAGGCCCTTGGACTAAGAAGAGCCAGTGTTAGCAGGAACAAATGAGGGTGACCGGTGTTGGGGACCCTCATGGTCTTCTCACTTTATAGAAACTCCTTTGGACTTACTGATTGAGAGAAGCAGCCCCAACTAGGACAAGAATATCTCAAATGACCATAGGGCCATGCCTCACTTTCTCTTTTTTCTATCCTCACTCTGTTCCACCTCTAGCTATGTCCCTGACTGGGATCAGAGAGCGCCAGAATACGCCTCCATCCCTAGTTCTTCCACCCTCCCTTCTGTCCTATAACACATAAACTAGCAACCTTACTTTATAGAGCTAGAAACAGGGCCCGAGGGAAGAGGGCCTGCCAAGCACAGTGAGGTGACATAAGGGGAGGTTGCAGGTTGGGCAACTTATTGCTGCAGGAAACAGTGTATGAAGGCAGCCAGAGCATCGCCTGCTTGCTCTAGGGCTGCTACCTGTGTTGCGGGGTGGAGGGGTGGTGGTGGCAATGGGCCTATTCTTATGGTGGTGTCCCTCACGGGGGCTGGATGAACATGTGAGGGGTACAGGTGGCATGTGTGAGGATTGGCGTCCCACACGTGAATAAATATCCAAATAAAGTATCACTGGTCTATCCTTTGGTTCTCAGTTGCCTTTGTGTGTCATCCTGGGGCTTGAACTCAGTACCTGAGCACTGTTACTGAGCTTTTTTGGCTCAAGACTAGAATCCTACCCCTTGAACCACAGTTTTACTTCCAGCTTTTTGAGATAAGGCAGACTTTCGTGCCTGGATTGAAACTGAGGTCCTCAGATCTCAGCCCCTTGAGTATCTAGGGTTAGAGGCATGAGCCATTGGCACCCAGTTTTCTGTGGCCTTTTTTTTTTTTAATTGTAAAGATACTATACAGAGGGTTACAGTTACATGAGTGAGGTATTGAGTATACTTCCTCTTGAACATTGTTACCCCCTCCATTGTTTTCCCCCTACCATCCCCTCCCTCCCTCCCTTCCCCGAGGTTCTTTTTTTTTTTTTTGATTGTGGTTAAGTGATTACATAATTTCAAAGTCACAAGTTCATTCTAACTTTCCTGGAGCAAATTGTCTATAACAGTCTGTAATATATAACAGTGTTCACATGTTATATACAATATTTGTGATCAGCAGCATGGGGATATTTAGTAGTGGTTCAACCAGATGAGCGGGAGTTCTTTGTTTCTTAAGTCCTGTTAGTTTTGTCGTATCACCTAACATTTTGGATTTAGCATCCACTTATCAGACCATGTACCGTTTGTCTCTTCGTTCTTGGCTTACATCGCTCAACATGATTCCTTCTAGCTCCATCCATTTCCCTGCAAATGCCATTATTTTGTCA